TGAATTTGATGAAGATGACGAGAAGAGAAAAAATACCCGTTTGAAAAGATTAATCTTCACTTGGAGGGATACAGTAAAATAGAGTCAAAAGTGGTATCTTCAATTCGATTAACGACAGTGAGGGAAAGAGTTACCTCATTTGTGAAACTATCAGTCAACAAATCAAACAAAGTAAACGGACTGATTATTTCTTTCAAAGTTCAAATCTGTATGTCTGTACTTTCACTTCTGTTGACTCTCAAGTAAGAAGAAACTCAAAGAGTTTCCTCAACAATCACTGTAATTTCTTTCTTTCTGTTCCCCTGTTCGCTCTGTATCTTTAATTTCTTGATAAGCGACTATTGTCAGAATTTGTACTACTGGCACTTTCGTTGTGAGAAGCACACGTCACATCCGTACAGCAATTTAAATGTTTTGCTCGAAATAACCGAAACAAAAATTGCTCTTAAAAATCACTTAATTGAAGTACGGCCGTGATATTTGGCAGATTTAACCCTAGATTCATGTACATTAAGCTATAATTTTTGAAACTTGGAGTGGACTTGGGCTTTAACAAATGGTCCAAAATATTTCTCATAGACTTAACACGCAAACCTGACTAACGGCCTTGGCATAGTCGCGATTTCAACATTCAAGTGAAAATTTCGACATGATCTCAACTTCTGATCAAAAAACTAAAACAACAGATATAATAGCCCATAGTCTTAGCTATAACATACTAAAATTTGGGATAAAATAGATCACAAATAAGCTAGATAGTGCTCAAAGATTAATGTAATGTAGATTCATGATGTGATTGAAATTCACCTTCCTTAGACATAACACGCAAATTAAGAAAATTCTGACATGTCGCCTTTAATTGAAATTTTCACCATGATGACGTCATCAAAATGAAAAACAATGGGCACTTATCTAGTAGCAAGTGATTTCTTCATTTTGGGTTGAAATTAATGTGAAAATTGACGCAAAAATTACAAATACATTGGATGCGTTGCAAGACATGTTATCGCCCAAAGTGGAATCGTTATGATCACAATGACATATGTTAGTTTCAACGTATCGTTAAACAGAATCTTTATCAATGGAGATCGTTGTTGGAATCACTAGATCAAATCTGCTGTTTTTTAGATGACCATGCACTTCCATGCTTCAAGTGTCTACTCGAAATCAAAAGGAGGGTAGTTTCTGTCAATTCCTAACAAGAATGCGAAACATCCTCGAACTGTATCTGGAAAAATCTTCAATTCGATTAACGACAGTGAGAGAAAGAGTTACCTTGTAGAACTCCCCTGAAGGGGGTCGTACTTTTTAACTTCACGATCTCACGAGGAATAAACTACACTATCGAACAATCAGGTTACGTAATTAATATCAACGATTTATTATAGATAATCAACACAAATTATCAAGGGTCGTATAGACTAATCGTTTGGTGTACACACAAGAAAATAACACACAATAATCAAATATCTCCAGAGAGAAGAACTCCCTCAGAAGGCAAATACTTTACATAAAAATAACAGTGATCACTGGATAAAAATAGTCAACGGAATCGTTCCGAGGGGGTATGAAAAGCCCCAAAGGTTATTCTCCAAGAATACACAATATAATGCTATATCATACACAACAATAACAATAATCATTCATCAAAACAATAACAATATTCAGTCATCAAGATCAAATACAAAAGGGATCATCACATAAATCAGCAAAGCGTTCAAAATACCAGGGGCCCCGTTTCATAAAGCATTTACCGCAGCGGTAAGTCCCATTTTCAGCGGTAAATTCTAGTTTCAGCGGTAAATTTGGAAGCAGCGGTAACTTTCCGTTTCATAAAACTTTACCGCTGAAAAAAGCAGCGGTAAGTGGTCATACCAACGGTAACAGTTACCGCAGCTCCATGAGGTGCGGTAAGTGTTGTTATTGCTATGTTTTTCCATAGACCTGTGTACAAAAGTGTTCAAATAAAGCAATTTTTTTTATTTCCCATAGGCTGGTGTACAAATTTAGTATATTCTGCCATTCTTTTCACTAATTTCACATTATTCAACATTCATGCCATCCAAACCTCAATCCGACAATACAGGGAAACATTCCCTATGTCATTAAGTTCACAGCAATCCATCTTGCTTCGCTCCTTGAAAACAAGCCATCTTCATTGGAATTCACATCCTGAATTCCAATGAAGATAGACACCTCACTTGCATTGTACATGAAAATATCCATTCACTGATCTCCACACAAAAAGAACTATACTGAAATGATGACAATATTTAACAGATCAATTCGTTATTAATCAAGTTTGGATTTTAATTCATTTCATCCCTTCCTTGAAGGGTTAACGGAATAGCAGAGGGGGGGGGTCGCAGCTTGAGGTTCCTTTGGGACAAAGTTTCTTATCAAATTTAGAAGCTTAACCCTACCTTAAGGCTAATACCAGTTACATAAATCAATGCTTCAACAAGTGTTCGTTACGATTTGTTCAAGCATGACTGGTCGAGTTTTGTGAGGTAGTTCTACAATCCATTAATTTAGTACATGTATATTGCAAGTAGTCCACAGTCAGGAGGGTCACAAACTCCTCTACCGCCACTGTCTCATCTTGATTCCTGAAGAGCCATGTCTGATTAGAGATGAACTTGAGAGAAGTATCCAGTATCCACATTGTTTTGGAGTTGCGTGCTCCTTCAGCTGACTGCTCCTCTTTAACTACTGAAGACAAGTCCACTTGCATCTTTGTAACCAATTCTGACAAGCTAGCTGTTCATGAACAAAGATTAGTTGAAGAAAAAGAAGAAAAAAATCAAATATTGTACAAGCACTTTAAGATGTAAAGCTAACATCATCAGTGTATTTCTTCTCCTTTTTGTTCTTCTGCTTCTAGTAATCTTCAAAAGGCTATTAGTTTTATATAATGTTGCAAAATTGTTTTCGATTTTCTGATGGTATAACTCTATTATCAAATAAACATTTACTTTACTTGTATTAAAGAGAACTGTTGCTGAGCTAGTGCCATGAGTGTACCTGGACGGTGTGTGCGCTCTATAAGTTTACACTATTATTATTATTATCATTAACATACCGTTTGCTCGACAGGAGTACATTCCTATATTTCGTGCTTTTTTTTCATGATTTTTTTGTTAACAAAAATATTTGTTATTTATCACACTTCTGGGGCGACTACCTCCAGGATATAGCCATATTCAATAATAAGGCCTTGTATTGATGGGCTGACTGCCTGCCCCCCCCCCCCCAAAAAAAAAAAAAGAGAGAGAAAAAAATATAAAAAAATAATGATAATAATAAAATAAATAAATAATTAATTAACAAATAAATAATTTAATTAATAACAATTTTAGTTCTAAAAAATCAATAACAACAAATTCCTATATAGGAGTATGAAAAAGGAGATTAAATCGTTTTCATTCGCCTTTCTCAATCACTAAACCAAATGTTGATTGTAGGTTACTGTTGTCTAGAGAATATATTGTTAAAGTGGGATGGGTTGCAGGAAGCATGGATGGGTTGGTTGACAATTGCAACTGAAAGTTCATGCTCTTCTATTGGGCAACTTACTTCAGACACTGTCATCTGGTCTCTGAGCTTTAGACAGCAAGGTCCTTGTCTTGTCTACCATATCATCATGAGCTTTTGCATTACATGTACAGGCACCTGTTTGTACAGAGACATACAATGAGTTCACTTTTATGGCATGTTCATGAAAGCAGTGTAAAATAATAATTATAAAGTGAACAGCAGGGTATGATTTTGCAGAAATTTTAGAATTTGAAGTAAAGGTGTAATAAAATATCAACTTTGAACAATACCACTACCGGACTACCGGTATGTAGAAAGGGATTTAGGGTTACCTAACTTTGGGTCCGGAATGTTTAAATACATTTATGTTTTGCAATAGATCCAGGATTAAGGTTAAGAATTAATTTTGTGTTTAGCATAACCATGCAGTAAACAATTGTCACTGTCGTAAAAATCGCTTACTTCTTTCAATTGGTAATACAGTGCTACGATACATGTTTCACAAACTGCAGGTCAGTGTATTATTACTTTACTAAAGCTATTGTAAATGATGGAAAGAAGTCTTGTATACTATTTCCCCTTCCACTCTTCATCATGTTTAAGCTGCTATCACAATACAGATGATGAGCAACATACATGCAGCTTCACCAGCACCTGCAAAATTGTGTTGGATGACACTTCATCCAGTGACCACAGCTCCACGTCAATTTCCTACACTATTAAACAAAATAATTAACATTATCCCTGGACCCAACACTCGACCAAAACCTAACTCTAAACCATCTCAATCCCAATTGCAGCCCTCGACCGAACCCTATACCTTTGACGAAATAAAGCCTGGAGCAGTCGTTGCAGGGGCAAATGTCCGTTCACTAAAAATGCCATGACAGAATCAAATCCTATGAATTTATCTCTAATTATTTCCCAGATTGGTTAAAAAACATGTAATATTTATTATGAATTACCAGTCCATTGTGCTTTGCTCCTCCAAGAGGCCATCGCTTTGAGGTAAAGGGCAGAAATTCAAGGTCGGAACCTCAAGGCACTCCATGATCTTTCTACAGGAAGCCCTCCTTCTGGAACAGAATTATAAACACTTCAATAAATATTGACAAAATATGAAAGAAAATACAAATATAATAGCATTATTAAATATTGCTTGCCATTCCTTTTCATATTATTGACCCCCCCCCCCTCCCCCACCTTTCTACATTAACTTCAAATATTAATTCTAAAAAGAGATACATTGGAAGTTAAAATACATTTAATGAACACTACAGCAACTTGTTACTAGACATTTTGATGCATAGTCACCCCTTTGCATCCCCACAGGTTCCTTTAGTACATGTTTCAATGAGAAACCATTTTAAAGGGAGACAAAAAATGTGGTCTTTATAAGACAGGTGGTCACTAAAGCAGGTTTGACTGTATATGCTTACCTTCTTTTGTGACGGTCTGTTTTCTCAGGACATTCTTGTTTCAAGCACATTCTCAGAGGAGGCAAGCATTTGGTACTGCGACAAGTCTCAATGTACATTTTCCTGTAAAAGAGAGGGGGAATTTAATATTTAGAATGAAAACTGAGTATGACCATTTAAGTTTGATGAGCATTTGCAGAATTAACGTGTTTTAATTTGGATTTCACACAAAAAACCTCCTTCATTATAGGCCAACTAACAAAAATGGGAAGTTTCTCATCCTTTATTTTCTATTGAAGGAGGGGGGGGGGGGATGAATGAATAGATCATCCCCCTGATGAATAGGTATCAGTGACAGATCGACACCCATGGAGGCAGGGCATTACTATTTAGTAATTTTAATTTTTTTGATATTTTTGTCCAAGATGACACGTCATGCTAAATATAGCTGGCCAAGGTATATTTATTAACAGATATTGTGCTCAGGCGCGTACGCAGGGGTTGGGGGGTTGAACCCCCCTCAATTTTTTTTTTTGGTGAGTTTTGGAGGAAACCCCCCCCCCCCAACAACAAAAAAACAAAAAAAAATTGTGCTAATGGGTGACCCAAAAAACCTGACTTACTCGGCCAGGCTTTAAATTTCAATATTTTTAGGGCAAGGCCACTTTTCTGTGGGGCACATTCCTGTATTACAGCACAAATAGAAAGAATTGGAAATCTCCAACGCCAATGAGAGGGGCATTGAGGCCAATCAAAAGGGCATCCACGGCCATGGCCTTGGATTAACTTAAGCCTAGATCTATACCCCCCCCCCTCCCCCAACAGATCGAAATAGCAATCGACCAAAAAATTAAAAAGGTGCTCTTACCCCCCTTCAACCCCCCCCCCCCCTCTTATTCAGCGACTCTCTGAGTCGTTGCGAATTTTTTTATCAAATCCTGGACAAAAAAAATGTGCTCTTATCCCCCCCCCCCCTTCATGTAACCAATCTTGTAAAGTAGCCCCCGAAAGTGTTTAAATATTTTTTCCCAGCTATATAGATCTACAGTAGCTTTAGTCTCTTTAGTCTTAAGACTAGACCCTACGCAAAAATTAAAGATATAGATTGATTCTAGACTAGTCTAGACAGTAGACTAGACTCGTCTCTAAAACTAAAGTCTACTCTAGTCTAGATCTAGACTAGAGTCTATTGAAATCTAGATCTAGACACTGTTTGGGTTCTTGCGGTTTACTGCAGGAGTTGCTGTTTCAATAATTAGGATTAAATAGAACTGTAATTTTCGGTTCTAAATTTATTTAAATCCGACACTATACAGCTCAGCCAGCTCAGTCAACTCCGACAGCTGACAGCTCAGTCACTCCAGACAACAGCATCGGATGACGGTAGGACTGATGCAAAAGTGCCCGCCACCAGAACGGGCGTTACACTCAGCTCCCGCTCTCGGTTTGAGCGCATGAAATTTGACAAACACTCGCATGCGAGCTCTCATAATCAATCTTTGTTTAACCGCTGGAAAAGTATTTAAATATAAATAAGCACACAGATGTCGAGTTATGAATATAATTCTTCGTATTATGGATTAAATATGACATGTACTTACGGGATTTCTATGAAAAAAACATTTCAAGCGGCGAAGTTGGGTTCATTGTCACGGTGATTGCAGACGACGGCAAAGCACAATGGAGCTATTGCGCACGCGCATAATCGTAATGATCGTTTTTTAAACGATCACTTTGTTATTAGTTTTATGAAACGTATTTTCACTTCAATAACAAGCTACGATAGTCGTAATCAGATTTGTCATAGATACCTATGGAAGCTTAAAAGTGCCACCCAGATGTTGAGATAATTATCTTCGGAAGTCGACATCTTGCTAGCGAAAAGATCAGATGACGAGATCTCGGATCTCATCATGTCGACATCCTGTAGAAGAGATGATCAGATGACAAGATCCCGGATCTCATCATGTCGACATCCTGTAGAAGAAATGATCAGATGACAAGATCCCAGATCTCATCATGTCGACATCTTTTAGAAGAGATGATCAGATGACAAGATCACGGATCTCATCATGTCGACATCATTTAGAAGAGATGATCAGATGACAAGATCACGGATCTCATCATGTCGACATCATTTAGAAGAGATGATCAGATGACAAGATCACGGATCTCATCATGTCGACATCATTTAGAAGAGATGATCAGATGACAAGATCACGGATCTCATCATGTCGACATCATTTAGAAGAGATGATCAGATGACAAGATCACGGATCTCATCATGTCGACATCATTTAGAAGAGATGATCAGATGACAAGATCCCGGATCTCATCATGTCGACATCTTTTAGAAGAGATGATCAGATGACAAGATCACGGATCTCATCATGTCGACATCATTTAGAAGAGATGATCAGATGACAAGATCCCGGATCTCATCATGTCGACATCCTTCAGAAGAGATGATCAGTTAAAAAGATCCCGGATCTCATCATGTTGACATCCTTTTGAAGAGATGATCAGATGACAAGATCCCGGATCTCATCATGTCGACATCCATTAGAAGAGATGATCAGATGACAAGATCCCAGATCTCATCTGCTACTATCACTGCCTTCACTTTCCTTCTGTATAACAGTACAAAATCATAACAATAAAATTAAAACAAAAAACAAAAAACAGCAATGTATGTTGACGTACAACGCAATTGTATCCCCAGACCCCCATGAAATAATATCTTTTGTGTCAAAAAGAGTTGTCAAAGTTTAATAAACTTGCAATGTTTGGTACAGTACAAGCAAAAGGGTAAAAACAAAATCATGATTATTAAAATTAAAATGTTTGCAAGCTAGTGTACATGACCTGACCATTATGCATTTTAAAAAGATTCATCTATGGTGTGAACGTATCTTATTGCTGGGAAAGATTATTGAGTTAAGTGCTTTTCAGGAAAGTTCACTGAAATTTGACCTTGGTCCGTATTGATGAAAAAAAAAACAACAGAGGCATTAATCAGGTCTTACAGTGATATATACCTCCATACAAATTTGAACAAAATCATGAAATGTGTGTATCGCACACACAAGTGATTGGGCAGGCTGGCAGTGATGGTATTGCGGGAGAAATGCAACTAAATTACTTTTCATTAAATTGTGGACAATTTGATGGTTCAATTATGAAGAGGAACTGAAATAATACCCTATTAGTATATTTGTATCATCCAAAAAAAATCTGTGTTTAGTAACTTTGTATTATGGAAAATATTTACAGAATAATTTGTCTTTGGAAGGCCCGGCCATTCTGACTTTTGCAAGCCAATTGAAATTTGCTCAAAAATGTTTCTGAGATATTCAAAAGGATGTCGACATGATAAGATCCAGGATCTTGTTATCTGATCATCTCTTCTAAAAGATGTCGACATGATGAGATCCGGGATCTTGTCATCTGATCATCTCTGCTACAGGATGTCGACATGATGAGATCCGGGATCTTCTCATCTGATCATCTCTTCTAAAAGATGTCGACATGATGAGATCCGGGATCTTGTCATCTGATCATCTATTCTAAAAGATGTCGACATGATGAGATCCAGGATCTTGTCATCTGATCATCTCTTCTACAGGATGTCGACATGATGAGATCCGGGATCTTCTCATCTGATCATCTATTCTAAAAGATGTCGACATGATGAGATCCGGGATCTTGTCATCTGATCATCTATACTAAAAGATGTCGACATGATGAGATCCAGGATCTTGTCATCTGATCATCTCTTCTACAGGATGTCGACATGATGAGATCCAGGATCTTGTCATCTGATCATCTCTTCTAAAAGATGTCGACATGATGAGATCCGGAACTTGTCATCTGATCATCTCTTCTACAGGATGTCGACATGATGAGATCCGAGATCTCGTCATCTGATCTTTTCGCTAGCAAGATGTCGACTTCCGAAGATAATTATCTCAACATCTGATCTTTTCGCTAGCAAGATGTCGACTTCCGAAGATAATTATCTCAACATCTGGGTGGCACTTTTAAGCTTCCATAGATACCAGATTTGTTATAGTCGTAAGTCAAAAGCTTTATGAAACACCCCCCCCCCCCCCAGATCAGCTACGGCGAAGTCAAGTTTGATGCTGCTGATGATGCTGCTGATGATAACGGTGACGATGATGACGGGGATGTTGAGGAGAAGGATGACTACGATGATGAAGACAGCGATGAAGTCGACGATAGCGATGATGTCGGAGATGATGACGAAGACAGCGATGATGATGATGAAGACAGTGATGATGTCGAAGACGATGATGACGAAAACGATGTTGGAGATGGCGATGTGGTCGATGAGGATCTCGTTGATGATGAGACAGTCAATAAAAGAATGAGTCAGTAATGCTCGAAGTATGATGAAATCAGATGATGGTGAGATGATGCTCGACGAAGACGATGATCAACGTGTCGAGACAACACACAGAAGATGGCGATAGAAACAAATATGTCGATAAAAGATTGTCAATACAATAATGTAGGGTGAGCAGAACCGTAGATAAAAATGTTCTATTCTCACTGCATGAAGTAAAATGTAAGGCGATGTCACTGATGTACAAATAGAGTCGAATTAAGTCTTGCAAAATACTGCCAGACGTTTACTGAACAATTCCACCGGTAAAGGTCCGGGGACAAAGTCACTGAGTCCTCGTTGGACGAAACTTCTACAAACCCGGTATAACAGGAACATAGAAACAAACTTTCCGTACCGAAATCAAAAAACCACTCCTTTCCTACATGGAAACTCAGAGCGAAGCCCCAATCACTGGTGTAGCGTGATTGGTTCAAAAAGCGCACACAAATTAATATGCACGTTTACGCGCTGTTCGTAACAATACAAAATTTACATAATAGAATATATTAACAAACCAGACAGAACCGGTTGGGACATGTCTGAAAAGCCAGACGGCTGACTACGCAAGGGAAATTAATTCTCCCTAGCCGCCATCTTGACAGTAAAAAAGCAATACTTATTAAACATGTACAAATCAATGCATACATACATACATACATACGTAGAGGTGTTGTGGTCGAGTGGATACGTCGCCGGACTGTCGATCACAAGGTCCGCAGTTCGAGTCCCGCCGCTGCACTAATGTCCTTTGGCAAGACATTGATCTACATTTGCCACACTCCACCCAGGTGAAGTAAATGGGTACCTGGTAGGAATTTATTCCTTGAAACGCAGCGCGCGTAACAGCTGCACTGCTAAAGCCAGGGTAATTATGCTGCATTATTGTAGAGCGCTTAGAGACTTCTGACAAAGTAAGTGTTAGGCGCTATATAAGCACTGTAATTATTATTACGTTATTATAAATATAAAAGTTTAAAATCATGACATTTGGTCACTACAACCTCATTTGTGAAACTATAAGTCAATAAATCCAATCGAGTAATGGACTGAATATCCCTTTCAAAGTTCAAATCTTTTCCAAAATATGGCCTTTGAAAAAATTATTTTTTGGAAAAAGGATAATTTAATCGCAAATCTTAATCAGTAAGACCGCAGCGCGCGCGATAATGAGGCACATCGGTTAGTTTCATTCAGATTTTCGTTGATCGTAACTCCCCCAAATTATGCTCACGTGAACTGCGAGATTTTCAACGAGATATTGCAAACGTGAACAGAATTGCATTGTGACGTCACCCGAGAGCTCTTCCCGTTTGCAGAATTTTTGGGTGAGTGTTTGCAATTTCTGCTCTTGATTTTAGTACTAAATTTGCCACCCTGATTATTTTTTTTCTCTATTTATCCTCTTTGGAGGGACTATATTTGTTCATATCATAAAATAACAACTATTTACAACAGTGTTTAAATACAGAATTCCTGCAGTTGTAACATATCATACATAGTACAGAACATGAAACTAATGTGATATAATCACTAACTAAAATAATGAAAACATTTTTGTAACTTCGTTTGTATTCTTTTTTTTACATTTAAATTTAAGATTCGAATAGTTCCGAATTTCTACCTTCAATTCTTTTATCGAATATACAGCATGTATCCTGTGCTTTTCACTTTCAAAACATTATCTTATATAGTTTTTTATAGATAATGAACTGAGCAAAGTTTAAAATAAGATTTACAAGATTCATTTCTCTTCTCTCTGTTTCATGACCTATTAAATAATTTTTTGTTCAGAAAGATGTTAAAATTAAACAAAGTATGGATTAATTTGGATACAATCTTCCAAAAAGCGAAACCTTCTTGCAAGCCAGAGGAAGGTGGTTTGTTGTATCTGGCTTCTTACATATATCACATAGATTATTATTTTTAATCTTCCATTTACATAAATTGTCTTTACTGGGCAATATTCTATGAATATATTATTTAAAATTAAACTCCTTAATTCTGTTGTCATTCATAAAGTAAAATTTATAATGGACGCCGTCTTCCAGTTAAACTCATTAGGTAAATCAAAATAGGCGTTTCAAAAATAAATGAACGGCAGATCCTGTCTATTTTGTTCTGACATCAAATTATAATAGTGTTTGGCTTTCACGACCGCTACATCTATTTCTATTGTACTGGATTCCACTGCAGACGGTGGACTATTTACATATTGTAACTTATGACGTAACTTCTGCAACCAAAAATTCGGAAATGCACTTTTTTAATTTGCCAATTTGAGGGCGGAAAGTAATTAATTTTCTTGAATATTAATACAAATAGAATCAACTTCTTTCCAGATACCGTTTATTAAAACTTGTTTCACTTTAAGAATATTGTTTCTCATCCAATTTGGAAAATACAATAACTCATTCATATCTTTAATATTGATATCGTACCAAATCATTTCATTTTCAATATCTGTTACTTTAAACATATCAATATATTTTAATTCATCCCAAGAACAAAACATCTCAACATAAAAGTTAGGCAACTGTTTTTTTCTACAAATACGATACCTATCACTCTTTTTGCAATTAAAATTCAAACAAAGTGGCAAATCCCCAATTTTCTTGATCCAATATTTACACAAAGTTTTCCAAGCACTTTGTTTATCTCTTAAATATTTATAAATCTATGAAAGACGGAGTGACCTGCATTTTGACTCTAAGTCAATCATTCCCAACCCCCTTTCTATATTAGGATTGTGACAGATGTTTCATTTCACCTTTTCTGTTTTAGAATTCCATACAAATGTGTAAGCCAGTTTATCTATACGTTTAATTATTTTAAAAGGGATCGGAATTTCCGTGGCAGTATGTACTATCTGAGACATAACTAAATGTTTAATCACAACAACTTTTCCTTGCAATGTAATTTTTCTCATTTTCCATAAATCAAAGGTATTCTTTATTTTCTCTACTTTACTTTCCCAGTTTATATTTTGAACGTCAAAAGAATTTTTTTACCTACATAAATACCAAGACATTTTATAGGGTCTTCGGTGAAATATAAATCTTCAACTTCATCGTCATTTATATTAGGTTTCATACGATTGAGCCCCTGATTATAACAAATCTCTTAAATCGTTTAGACCCTGTCTGTCTCATGAATCCAAATCTCATGTTATTTCACTAATGACTTTAACTTGTTTCTTGTCCCTCAACAAATCAAGCAATCAATCAATCATGACAAAGAAAGATAAATATTTATAGACATCTTTATAACCTATTGAATGGGGTATCATCTTGTAGGAAATGTAATAGTCTTTCATATGACACCTTAGACATGGGAAAAATGAGGTACTGTTAAAAGGTAATCCCCAGAATGTACAACAGTAGTTATACATGGCGGCCATTTTTTCCAGTAGCATATTGCAAAAGTTGTCCACTTATAAATTGTGCACGGAGGTCCCCCGAACAGGTTGAGACCATCCAACCTTTTACAAATCGGGGTTTCGCCCCCTATAGGTATGTATATACATTATGTATGTAAACTGTAGAAATGTCAGCCTTTAAAAAGGTAAGTGCGTAACTTATGCCCCCACCCGCGCACAATATGGCCTTTTTTGTTGTTAATTAAATATCGTGATCTAAATCCCCTACATACTGCAGGCCGAAGTTGGCGTGATCCATGATTCCACTCGCCAAGTCTGGCTAACTGTGGCTATCAGTAAGTAGGGGGAACGGTTTGGTGGTCTTACCTGCTCTGACTGTTCGAACACTAATCACTATCACAGCGATTGCTGCAACTAGCTTTAGTATGGGCCCCATGCTTGATGGCGTCTTTCCTCCACCAGAGGCAGTTCCACAGATCCTACATGAACAGAAAATGGTGTAATCGGTGTAATTTACAAGGTGTCATAGCTTTATGGAGTAAGAAGAGATAGGCATATATGATTACAGCAACTATGAACTGATTTTTCAAAGTATCCCACATTTTATTCATCATCAGATTTGAGAAACTGCAATAATTGTATAGTAAACTTAAGATTAGGCATCAGCATTAAAGTTGATACCAGTTTAATAGTTAAGCGTTTCAGGAAGCAGTCATGGTTTAACAAAAGCGGTCCTACTCTTGTTAGTGTAAGAAAAGGATACCCTAATTTGGTAGCTTACGATAGAAATGTCATGATCAATGTAACCTTGTAATCTATTTCATGATTAAGTGTAATGATTCCATATTCATTTCCATTTTCTGAAACAAAAGCAAACGAGCGAAGTGAGCGAGCACAAAATTAGAATATTTTCTGCTTGTTCGTGCAGTGTTGTAGGTCTGCAGCTTATAACTTCATGTTCAATAATTATTAAGCAAATTCGGGACGAACTGCGTCCCGCGGAGGTTCAATACGGGACGTGGACAAAAGGTCGAGATACGGGACAATCCCATAAATGCGGGAAGTGTGTTAAAAATAATCCCTCAACGTGGACCTTACTCGATCGACGACCTGTTACTCAGGTCCGACTGGAACCAGGAGAAGAAGTTATCGAGTAGAAAAAGCGATTAATCAGCCTATGTAAGAGAGTCGCATGGTCCACCACGTCAAAGGCAGACAAAAGTGCAAGCATTCATAAGAAGACATCATGTCTGTTTTCAATGGCAGAAAGTTTGTCATTCTGCACGCGAATAAGTGCAGACGTAGTCAATATGTGCGACT